TGGATAGCCGGCGTGGGAGGTCTGGGGCTCCCCCTTCCCCCCTCCCGGGGAGGGGGGAGCTGTGCAGACAGGGGCGCGGTGACGTATGACGTCATACTAGTTTGCTTGTTTTCTGTTGAGGAGTTCTATCCACTAGTTCGGCTTTAGGTAGCAATTTTCACCAGAATAGGGGTTTGTTTTGGAATGCTTACCTTTCTGGATGCTTGACCCGGTCGATGGCAGACATAGAATGCTTCCGACCACACGGGAGTTTCTATAGGCCATTGCTCCCCTTGCCTCTCTGAGGGGGCCAGGTTCTGGCCGTGGTCCCCGGTAGGCCTTAGAACTCCGTACACATGACTGATGCCAAAGTCTGACATTAGCATATCAGGCTGGTAAAGCTCCGGGGAGCCTCCGGGTCTCACCCAGAAAATGGCGTTTCATTACATTCGACGCTGGTTTTTTAGGTCCAGATAGATGCAGTCAACCCAACCATCTCTTTCCTGTAATATCTCTGTGGCTTGATCATAGAAACTGAGTAAATTCGATACACAGGATTGTGTGTGTGTGTATTTATTTATTTATTGATTTATTCCTTACTTGTTGTATGGACTCTGATTAACTGTTCAACTTGAGTTAGTTGTGCCTAGAGTTAGTTTCTAGTTGGTCACTGGTGTTGGCACTGCCTAGCTAGGCCTATCTTTCCTCATGGATTTAGGGGGGTTTATTATGGACCGGCCCTCTGATTCTGCCTTCACTGAGTCAGTTTGAAGGATGTGCCTCAGTTTTGCTATACAGTACAACCTCGATTCAACGTACTATATGGGACCGACCCCAGTTCGTTGGAGCGTTGGATTCGTTGCAAGTGGTGACCTTCAGGAGGCGTTTGCATCAGTGTCTTTATTTTTCTTGTAGACAATAAAAATGCATTATCATATTATATACTGTACCTATATATTATTACTCTACTAACAAATATTGTTACATTTGTTATTTACCTTATTGTTGGAGTTAAGTCCATCTTGAAGTCTCATGGAGTTGTGAATGCTGTACAGTAAATACATACTGTAGTGTATTATGCCGTTAACACTGTGTTGAGTAGTTCTGTTGTATGTTGAGTACTACAATACAGTTTATGAAAACTATTGTACACTAAAATTACTGCAACTTAACTTTAACACTATATTTTGATTTTTCAAGAGGCTGGAGTGTTCATTCCGTGACTTTGTTGGACATATCAGCACAATCAAGGAACATCTGTGCACCATGTCGGCTCCAAATGCACTCATTGTGTCAGTGATGGCTGATTGGTGGGTGGATGGGCAGGCAGGGAGGGAGGGAGGGAGGGAGGGGGGCAGGGAGGGGGGGAGGGAGGGAGGGAGGGAGGCAGGCAGCGAGGGAGGGAGGGAGGCAGGCAGGCAGGCAGGCAGGCAGGCAGGGAGGGAGGGAGGCAGGCAGGCAGGCAGAGCTTGGGAGAGAGGCAGAGATTGGGAGGGGGTAGGCAGGAAGGAAGGCGGGCAGGCAGAGCTTGTGAGGGAGAGACGGAGGCAGGCAGGCACGGAGGGAGATTGGCACAGAGGGAGGCAGGCAGAGCTTGGGAGGGAGGCAGGGAAGGAGAGGATGGAGATGGATTGATGGAAGGATGGAGGGAGGGATGGAAGGATGGATGATTTGAGGGTGTGTGTGTGTGTGTAATTACCTAAGTGTAGTTACAGGATGAGAGCTACGCTCGTGGTGTCCCGTCTTCCCAGCACTCTTTGTCATATAACGCTTTGAAACTACTGACGGTCTTGGCCTCCACCACCTTCTCACTTAACTTGTTCCAACCGTCTACCACTCTATTTGCGAAGGTGAATTTTCTTATATTTCTTCGGCATCTGTGTTTAGCTAGTTTAAATCTATGACCTCTTGTTCTTGAAGTTCCAGGTCTCAGGAAGTCTTCCCTGTCGATTTTATCAATTCCTGTTACTATTTTGTACGTAGTGATCATATCACCTCTTTTTCTTCTGTCTTCTAGTTTTGGCATATTTAATGCTTCTAACCTCTCCTCGTAGCTCTTGCCCTTCAGTTCTGGGAGCCACTTAGTAGCATGTCTTTGCACCTTTTCCAGTTTGTTGATGTGCTTCTTAAGATATGGGCACCACACAACAGCTGCATATTCTAGCTTTGGCCTAACAAAAGTCATGAACAATTTCTTTAGTATATCGCCATCCATGTATTTAAATGCAATTCTGAAGTTAGAAAGCATTGCATAGGCTCCTTGCACAATATTCTTAATGTGGTCCTCAGGTGATAGTTTTCTATCTAGAACCACTCCTAGATCTCTTTCCTTATCAGAATTCTTTAAAGATTTCTTACATAATATATAGGTTGTGTGGGGTCTATGTTCTCCTATTCCACATTCCATAACATGACATTTATTAACATTAAATTCCATTTGCCAAGTGGTGCTCCATATACTTATTTTGTCCAGGTCTTCTTGAAGGGCATGACAATCATCTAAATTTCTTATCCTTCCTATTATCTTAGCATCATCAGCAAACATGTTCATATAATTCTGTATACCAACTGGTAGATCATTTATGTACACAATAAACATCACTGGTGCAAGAACTGAACCCTGTGGTACTCCACTTGTGACATTTCTCCATTCCGATACATTGCCTCTGATTACTGCCCTCATTTTTCTATCAGTCAGAAAATTTTTCATCCATGATAGAAGCTTACCTGTCACCCCTCCAATATTTTCCAGTTTCCAGAACAACCTCTTATGTGGAACTCTGTCGAAAGCCTTTTTTAGGTCCAGATAGATGCAGTGTGTGTGTGTGTGTGTGTGTGTGTGTATGGGCTGTAGGGGAGGGGGGTGGGGGAGGTGTGTCGGTGGTGGTGAAGGGACCGACTCGGTGTTAACCATAACTCTGACCCAGTTAACTTTTTTTTACCTTGATTTGTTTCTTCAATTCTGGATGGATGGATGGAGAGAGAGAGAGAGAGGCAGGGAGGGAGGGAGGGATGGAGAGAGAGAGGGGGGATGGAGAGAGGGAGGCAGGGGAGTATGGAGAGAGAGCGAGGGAGGGAGGGATGGAGAGAGAGCGAGGGAGGGAGGGATGGAGAGAGGGAGGGAGGGACGGATGGAGAGAGGGAGGGAGGGAGGGAGGGATGGAGAGAGGGAGGGAAGAAGGGAGGGATGGAGAGAGGGAGGGAAGAAGGGAGGGATGGAGAGAGGGAGGGAAGAAGGGAGGGATGGAGAGTGGGAGGGAGGGAGGGAGGGAGGGATGAAACACGCATGGTGCTGTGTGTACAGGGATTAGACCCGTCCACTCACTCACGCTGGAGTTGTTCTACTAACATACAGTAATTTCTCAAAGAGCAGATGTCTATCATATTACAGTATATTTTCGGTTTTATTTAGTTTAGTTTAATTAGGATAATAAAAAGCTATTAAACACTGGTTTTAGAAATTATTTATTAATATGAAACTTTCAAAAGTCATGGGTCCCTGAACTATGACGACACACAGACGAAAGTGAGTGAAACCTCACTGTAAAGTGAGGTTTACAGTATAGTATTCTCTTATCTGTCCACCCTCACTCATCTTGTTTCATCACAGAAAATGTCTATAAAGAGATTTTACCACATGTAGCTAGGTAATCACGCTTCATCCTTTAAATTAATGTACAAAGATACGTGTGCCCCAAATCAGTGAACGAAAATCATGGAAACTCAGTTGTTCACTTGTGTGGATCACTGGCTGTGTTTGTGTGGACCATTTTAGCTGGTGTTTGGTTCATATGGTTCACTTGTGTGATCCAACTGCTTATGAAGGAATTATTAATTGTAATCTGTGATAGAATGAGAGAGTTTTCCACCACTCTGTGAACTCTGTCCCAAAATCGTAAGCTTGTGGACCACTTGTGATCCACATGTGTGGTCCACATGTGTGGTCCACTTTTGTGGTCAACTTTTGTGGTCCACTTGTGTGGTCCACTTGTGTGATCCAACTTGTCATATGAAAGAATTATTCATTGTAATCTGTGATAGAATGGGAAAGTTTTCCACCAGTTTGTGAACTCTGTCTGGACATTGTAAGTAAATCCGAACATCCCTCGCTTCGGCGAACCATTGTTCGTCGAACCGGGTGAGTAAATTCGACCTGAAAAGTGTGCGAACTAGCCGGAGATTCGTTGAATTGGGGTACGTTGAATCAAGGTTGTACTGTACTGTATTCCAATGGCCATTCTTTCTGCCTTTAACATGGCTGGATAAGAGGACACATTCTACCGAGGCTTTTGATGTGTGCTGTCGTTTGGCCTAAGGACCCTCTAGGAACTCGGCGATGGTTCTGGAGGGGGATCCTGAGGAGGGTCGTTGGGTGCCTTTCCACCACAATTGGTCCTCGATTTCCTCGAAATGGATTCCTCTGTGGTGTCCCCCTCCTCGTATTGTTGAAGATTAATTTAGTACCCCCTGAGACATGCTATGTGCAGTGCTCAAGGATCTGTTTCGGTTCCCATGTGTGCCACTTCCTATTAGCTGCGATATGGGGGTTCTTGATTTGTCTTGGTGCAGTGGTAAAACACTCACTTCACGAGTGATTTGTCAAGTTTTGAGTCCTGGCCAGGGAAGATTGTCTGGGCATCAATTCTTATTTCTTCACCTCTGTTCACCCAGCAGAAATTGGGTACCTGTTGTCAACTGGTTGGTGGGCTGTGCTCCAGAGAAAACTAGTGGGTAAGTGTTCAATAGACAATAGCTATTGGGAAGGATAACCTTTCAGCCTGCTGACAATAGTCAAAAGTCCTGTACTCACCCTGTGTAAAAAAAAAAAAAAAATCCTTCTCCTTTCCTTGGGGGTCCGAGACATGGCTTTTGGATTACCCGAACACTCAAGTGTTGTGAGATGAGTGTAGTCTTTCAGGCATTTTTGGCTGGTGCTTTTTTCATTCCACTAAACACCTTATTTTAAAATCATGCAACTGTTCGTATAATATCCTCCTTGATATACAGTATTGTATTTTCAGATGTTGAAGTGTCTGCAAAGCGGGGGACCCTGAAATATCTGCTACAAAGAGAAGAATTTTTGAAGGCACAAGCACAGGAAATTGAAGTTGATGACGACTTCTTTGCTGATGAGATATTTAAAAAAAAGAAAAATGACGTGAGTTTCAGATTGAATATACAGTAATGCAGTGTTGACAGCTGAAGGGGCAGTGCTCCCACTTCTTAGAGCCTTTTGTCATCTTAGGGAGATAATCCATCAGTTCAAGCTTAATATAATATGTTGCCAGCTTGAGAATGGGCAAGATTGTGCCATTTCTCCATATATGAAATTACCATTTTATTTTTTTTTTGTATAAGAGGAAGCCCCCTCAGAGAGAAAGTTGGCTATTCTTCAATGCAATTAACTCATTATGAGGTCTAGAGACAGGAGAGTATATCTTATTTGGCTGGATATTTGAGAGACCGTTCAGTTTGCACTGGCAATGATATCTCGTAAACATTGTATTGAACTGGCAGTACAATGTCATTCTGCCTTCATGATTACAAATATTATTATCTGTTTGTTTTGTTCTATGCTATTATGTGTATTATGTTATGTTCTTCAGTAGATCAGGGGATAGAACACGAGATCAAAATACACTGTATTGATGATCTATAATAGGATTAATGGACTATTTGATTATCATCATATGATTATGTTCCATGATCATGACACATACTGTATTACTGTATTTAGTCATTGTGGGATGGGTTACTGTATCATGTCTCCGTTGGATAGGTCACTGTATTATGTCACTGTGGGATGGGGCACTGTATTATGTCACCGTGGGATGGATCACTGTATTATGTCACTGAGGGATGGGGCACTGTATTATGTCACCGTGGGATGGATCACTATTATGTCACTGTGGGATGTGTAACACGGGGGGAGGGGGAGGTTATCGGCTCTACTCCATCCTTTACCCCATACCTCTACCCGTATTCTGATTTATTTCTCTTCAATCCAAGGGGCCCCAGAGCTACTACTCTAAGCCGAATCCCACGCTGCATGCTCTTAAGCCATTTGACCGGCTAAGATTCTACAGCCTCACAACGTTGAACTAGACCCCTAGCAAACTCTAGAATCTCCTTACGCCGCCACCACCAGACCATTAACACTGGGAGCAATAACCGAGGTCTGGACCGATTATGCTCTCAAAGAACCTTGGGGCTTGATCCCCAATTATTTGGAATAGGAGGGAAGAACCTATGTTAAGTGTGGCATATTATAACAAACACAAGGGATAGCTGAACTCTTAATCGTTGTTGGGCTGGCGGCCCAACTAGACTCAGACTCGTGGGGACCACGTGCCAAGGACAACGAACAATATGAAAACATGAAATGGAAATAATAAAAATGCAAATTACTAACTAAATAATTTATTCAAAATCTAAAACAAAATCTAAATTAAAGCACTACCTATCATTAACACTCCCTGACAAGGCATGAGATGAACTAATTTCCTATACCAAACTATAGCAACTGTACCTCTTTCCGCGACCAGTGGATGGAGGCTGGTCTCTTGGGAGAGGCAGGTGGATGACCTCCTCCAGTTGCTGACCACGACCACACTGAATTCTCCTCCCTCTCCTCGCCACAAGGTCGGAGGAGGGGGGGGGTATTCCTACGTCAGTTCACTAGGATTACTAAGCAGGGTTTAACCCTTTAACTGCGCAACGCGCCTGCAGGCCCAGGCTTCGGGTGCGCAACGCGCCTCCTGGTGTTTTTATTTTTCACGTTTCATTCAAAACTCCCGCGGCTACATGGGGTTCATATCAGCTTCCTCAGGGTTCTTGTAAACAGACGCCATCTTTAAAAAAAATCATGGTCCACATTGCCGGGTATCAAACCCTCAGTAGTGAGTGAGCAACCAAGGCTGGCGCTCGCAGCATGAGCGCACAGCTCTGCTGTTCAGCGTGTGACCACAGCATCGCCTAATAATGTCAAAATATATATATAACCTGTATTATTTAGCCATGATAGCCATTTAGCCATTTAGCCATTTATAGAATAGCCTGAGTGTGATAATGACTGGGCACAATGTTCATATATTAGTGATTCAATGCTGTTCACGATGTTCACAGCGCTAGCCAAAGCACCACAGCATTATTTCGTCCATCTAGGAATCTTCAAACGACTTCTTAGGTTCCTTTTCAAAATAAACTTGTGGTCAATTATTCATTTACAGAAATTAGTGACCAGGATTGTGGTTATGATTAGCATTGTGCGTAGTATTGTGGAAGGAGGAATTTTGGTGAGGGAGGGAGAGAATTGAGGTAGCCTCACTGTGTGGCAGCCACTTTTGTTTTGCTCACCATACTAGCTTCGTGGCTCGCTATGGGGAACACACATGTACATGGGTATATACAGTGTGTGTGTGTGTATATAGTGTAATAACAGCAACAGGAGTATGTTGAGTGGAGCTATTTTGGTGAGGGAGGTGACGTTGTAATCGTAGCGTCGTCTGCTGTCTGCTGTGTGATTTCTCATGCAGTGTATGGTGGCCACTGTACTGTTTGAACACAATACAGGCTTACTTGCATAGTTCTGGTAAATAAAATATGTAAATAAGTATATATAACATGTGTAAATAGTGTAATAAAAACAATAACAGTATGGTGGGAGGAGCTATGTTGGCGAGTAAGATGTTGGAGTGAAGGAGGGCCTGTCTGGGTGTTGCTGCTCACACTCGTGATGTTCTGAATGTGTTGATGGTAAATGTATGTAGTGTGTGACAGAGTATAGTGTGTACATATGTTGTAAATATACATAAATGAACATGAAATATTGGTGTGAATAACTGTATGATGGGAGAAGCAATGTTGGCAAATACAATGTTGGAGGAGTGAGGGAGGAGTGGCTGGGTGTGGCTGCTCACACTCGCGGTATTCTGAATGTGTTGATGGTGAATGTATATAGTGTGTGACAGTGTATAGTGTGTACATATGTTGTAAATATACATAAATGAACATATATGCCTGGAGACCGTTCAGGTTTGTTTGCATAAATGAACATGAAACATTGGTGTGAATAACTGTATGATGGGAGGAGCAATGTTGGCGAATGCAATGTTGGAGGAGTGAGGGAGGGCTAGATGTGTGTGACAGCTCACACTCGCTGTGTTCTGAATGTGTTGATGGTGAATGTATATAGTGTGTGACAGTGTATAGTCTGTAAATAGATTGTATATACAGGTATACATAAATTAGCATGATACATGGTAAATATGTGTAACATATGTGTACACAAGTGTCATGTACGTAACAGTGTCCTTGGACAGTACGGATGTTTTACTGCCATAATATAGTGTACGTGTTCATTATACATAGGATTAGCATGTAAAAACAAATAAAATGTATTTGGAACTGTGCGCTAAAAATGAACCATAATATATTCGCGGCAACTCGCGCGCCCTGCCCCGGGCGCCCCACCGGCCCCGGGAGCTTACGGCATGGGCGCACGGGGAATGATGACGTCACGCGCCACCTTACGGACCGCATAGCAGCCAAAGTAAGTACAATTTCGAAATTCCATTGCTATACCCATATACAGGGAGGAATTTTTGACAGAACAAAAAAGAATTTTTTCCCGAGAATTTATTTCTTGCGCACTGGGGGGGGGTGTCATATTTATAGGCCGCACAGTTAAAGGGTTAAGGTGAACAACTAATCTCTGTTGCCCTGAACAGCCCAGATGGTTGAACTCTTTTAAACTGAAGGTAATTGCACAGGCATCTTAGGGAAGAGCTATTTCCAATTACAAAATAGCTATTTAACCTTTGAGAATTACTAAAATATGGAAGGCTTTGGTGACCCGTATGACCTAAGGTCACACAAATCCTTCCACGACCGAGGCTAGTCCCGGCTAGTGACGTCACTGATGGTGACTTACTAAAGTATTCCGACAATTGAGGATACTCTTGATACTTTAAACAGGAATACTATTGAATACAATTTGAATGAAGACTTTAATTTCTCTAAATTACTGAATTCTGTAAAATAATTCATTATACGTTGCTTTAAGACAAAGGTGGCGGCCATTTTGTATCTCAACCGCTAATCTCAGGAGAGATGACCTTGTGCTTGGGTCAGGTCAGACTACAACTTGACTCTAACTTTTGTACAAAGGCGTATCCCACTGCCTCCCATACAATTACTTATTTTAAAACAATTCAGTTGTTACAGATGGGTCACTGTATCATGTCACCATGGGATGGGTCACTGTATCATGTCACCGTGGGATGGGTCACTGTATCATGTCACCATGGGATGGGTCACTATCATGTCACCATGGGATGTGTCACTATCATGTCACCGTGGGATGGGTCACTATCATGTCACCATGGGATTGGTCACAGTATCATGTCACCATGGGATTGGTCACAGTATCATGTCACCGTGGGATGGGTCACTATCATGTCACCATGGGATTGGTCACAGTATCATGTCACCGTGGGATGGGTCACTATCATGTCACCGTGGGATGGGTCACTATCATGTCACCATGGGATGGGTTTCTTACTAGAAATGTAACAAAAATATGAATATTAAATGCTGTAGTAGTTTTTTCTGGGGGGAGCCCCGTCGGCTCCCCGGAGCTATCCCAGGCTGATATGCTAATGTCAGACTTTGGCATCAGTCATGTGTATGGAGTTCTTAGGCCTACCGGGGACCACGGCCAGAACCGGGCCCCCTCAGAGAGGCAAGGGGAGCAATGGCCTATAGAAGCCCCCGTGTAGTTGGAAGCATTCTATGTCTGCCATCGACCGGAACAGGCACCCAGAAAGGTAAGCGCCCCAAAACAAACCCCTATTCTGGTTAAAATTGCTACCTAAAACCGAACTAGTGGATAGAACTCCCCAACCGAAAACAAGCAAACTAGTGTGACGTCACACACTGCCGCGCCGCTGTCTGCGCAGCTCCCCCCTCCCCGGGAGGGGGAAGGGGGAGCCCCAGACCCCCCGCGCTGGCTACCCACACCTCAGTTCTTGAGGCTGATGCTATAGGCGATGGTCATGTGCTCTGGCTCCGGTGTCGCTACTGCACTGTGCTTTGCGTGTGGTGTTAGTTTTGTGGGTGCGAGAGCTAGGAGTTATCTTCAGTACTCGGGCTGCATGCGCCTAGGGCTGCCTTCCCTAGGTGCCCTGTAAGTACTGCCCTTGGGGCTTGGGGCCACCTTCCACAGGCTCCTCGGGGTCTGCCTCTGCTGGTCCGTTTTACCTTTCGGTTTTTCGGCCGCCTGTTGGGCTCTTGGGTGTTCTGTTCTCCCTTGTTACCGGCAGGTAAGAGGCAGTTTGCACTGGTAGGGGCGCAGGGTGCTGCTCAGCTTGTATTTCCCGACATCGCGGCCGGCTCTGTTCCTTGGGGTTCGCTGTCCTCTTGCGGGGTTTTGTTTTTCTTTTTCTTTTTGCCTGGTGGGGGGTTCTGTCCTTTTATTCAGTTTGTTTTTGCCCTTCCACTGTTCTCCTCGGTGGCGCCCCCTGCTAGGTCCCCGTGAGTGTACACGTCCCTGGGGTTCAGCTTTAGAAGTTTGCTTGGTAGTTTTGGGCGCCGGTTTGCAGCACCCTGCCTGGGACTACCTGAGCGCAAGTTCTCTTAAAGTAAACGCTCAGGACCCTGGGAATCCCCTAGGGGGCGCGTGGGTCCGATGGATGTGACCCCGGAGTCCCCACTCGCTGTGTGCGAGTTTGAGGGTTGCTCGGTCCCCTTGTCTCAGGGTGACCCTCATTGTTTTTGCCTCTCCCACGCTGCCTGTTGGGTCGGTGACACTTTCGACCCTGAGTCCTGTGAGTGTTGCTGCTTGCTTGTGACTCAATTTACCCAATCCTCTGATGATTCTATTCGGGTACGGGCAGCACGTGCGTTGCAGTCTAGGTTTCGTCTGTTGCAACGCGCTCGGTTGGTTGCTTCCCCGGATGCCCCGGGGCTGCCCCGCTTTGCTTTTCGAGACCCGGACTTGGGGGTGGGGGTCGCTTCGATCCTGGTTCAGTCCGCACCTCCTCGTCCTTCCCCTTCTGTTCGTTCTGGTCCCCCGCCCCTGCTTCCGGCCCCGAAGCGTCTGAGGGTTTCGGGGTCGGAGCAGGGGTTACTTGATCTTGAGACTCGGGCAGCTTCGGGGGTTGCCCCTTCCTGGGGGGCGGCAGAGGCATTCGAGTCTTGTCTCCCGGCCGAAGCTTCAGGGTCTGACCAGTGGGCCCCCTTCCTCCAGCTTTTCCGGCTGCTCCGTCCTTGTCTTGTGGGGTCGGGGCTTGGGGAGAGGACTCGGCCTCGGGTCCTGTGGTGACGGACCTCGAGGCTGGGGAGGGGCTGACTTGGGGGCCTTGGGCCCCGCTGGACCCCGCCTGGGTTTTTCTTCCCACTGAGCGGGGCTTATTGTTACAAGGAGTGGGGTTTTCTTTTCCCCCCTCTGCGTACGAGTTGGATTTGGTGTCGGCCCCTCCCCGGGTTCGGTTCCGTGTTCCCCCGGGTACGTCGGTTCCGTCCTTCCGGAGGTTTTCGGCTTATCGCATCCAACCTGGTGTGGTGCGAGCGGCCTTTGCAGCTTACCTCCTGCGTGACCCGGATTATGCCTCGGAAATGGATCCGTCCACGTTCAGGTTTGGGACTTCGTTCCCTTTCTGGCTCCGTTACGAGGTTCCGGAGTCGTCCTGGCTAGCAGACTGCCCCTTGTTTGGTCTGGATTCCTGGCATTCCTTCTGTCGTTCCCGCACGCTGGAGTGGCGGGAAGCTTCCACGGTGCTTCAGGTTTTCCTGGGGGGTGAACTTGAGTACCTGAATGAGTGCTTGTTTGCCCCTGCCCTTCCCCGCGATGTGGGCGTTATTCAGCTCCATGTGCAGGTTCCCTCCCTTTCGGCGGCGCTCGTGGCGGAGGACTTGCGCGCCCGGGGCCTTTTGTGTTCGGCCTTGCTGTTCTTTTCCCTCCTGGAGCTGTCTTCGGATTGGCTCGTGGAGGATGTGGGGACGCTTGGGTCCGTCCCGGGGTCCGGCACCTTGTCCTCGGCTGTGCGTTCGTCGGCTGCCTTGTTGAAGCTGTTCACGCCGATTTTGCGGGATGCGGTTTCCCTGTTCTATGCTTCCCGTCTCGCGTGTCGGCAGGCGGTGCTGGGTTCCTCCGTGGAATCTGCTTGGGCTCTGGCTCTTAGGCGTTCTTCACCTTTTTGTCCTCTCCTGTTTGGGGAGTCGGCCGTGGCGCAGTTTATTCAGGCTGCGTCGGCGGCTTGTCGTCCGATGTCGGACTTGTTGGTTTTCCGGGGGTCCCGGGGTGGGTCTTCCCGGAAAGGTCGTGCCAGGGCTCGGGGTTCCTCTCGTCGTGGTAGGCCTCTGGTGTCAGGTTTGGGGTTGGCTCCTCCTGCGGACCCTCCCTCGTCTGGTCGGCGTGGTGTTCGCGCTGTGCGGGGTTCTGGGTCTCGTAAGGGTCGCCGGCCCTTTCGCGGTTTGCCCCCTTGAAGGGGCGATGGGGGGGCGGCTTGCGCTGTTCGCCCGCGCCTGGTCCCACGATTCGTGGGCCTTTCGGGTCGTGTCTCGCGGCCTGCGGTGGCGTTGGGTGGCCCCTCCCCCCTTTGGGGGGTCAGGGCTGGCAGGGCAGGCTTCTTCCCCTGCGCTCTGTCGAGTCGTCTTGGAGTGGGTACGCTTGGGCGTCGTCGAAACGACGTCGTCCCTCAGATGGGTTTCCCGTCTGTTTCCGGTTCCGAAACGGGACTGCGCGGACCTGCGGTTCATTCTGGACTTGTCCCGTCTGAACCCCTGGGTTCATTGCCCCTCCTTTCGGATGACTACGCTGTCTCAGGTTCGGCTCCTCTTGGAGCCGGGAGCTTGGATGGTGTCCCTGGACCTCCGGGACGCTTATTGGCATGTCCCGATTCATCCGCGGTTCAGGGACTGGCTCGGTTTTGTAGTGGGGCGTCTGAGTTACCGCTTTCGTTGTCTCCCGTTCGGGTTGAACCTGGCACCTCGCGTGTTCACACGCCTTACACGGGTTGTGGTGGCTCGTTTGCGTCTCCTAGGTGTTCGGGTGTTGGCCTACCTCGACGACTGGCTGGTTTGGGCTCCCAGCCAGTCAGCTTGCTTGCTAGCCAGGGATTAGGTTCTTTCCCAGCTCGCCGGGTTCGGGTTCTTGGTGAACTGGAGGAAGTCCCATCTGGTTCCCTCTCAGGTTCGGACTTGGCTGGGTCTCGTGTGGGACTCTCGAACCGCCTCTTTGTCTCTCCCTCCGGAGTCTCTCCTGCGGCTGCGGTCCCGCCTTCGTCTGTTTCTGGAGGGCCCTCGGGTCACCCGGCGGTTGCTCGAGGGGCTGTGCGGGAGCCTGAACTTCGCGATGGTGGTCTACCCGCCGGGTCGGGTTTGGCTTCGACGGCTGTTCTGGTTCCTTCGGGGTTCCCCCTTCCGCCTCTCTCGCGATCGCAGAGTTCGACCTCCGGGGGACTTGCGTCGGTTGCTGCGTCACCGGCTTCCTCTTCGGGTTTTTCGGGGTTCAGTGCCTTGGCGCCTACCCGAGCCCTCGCTCGATGTGTACACGGATGCGTCGTCTCTCGGCTGGGGTTTTGTGACCAGTGCTCACCAGGCCGGCCAGGGGCGTTGGGATCCGTCCTTCCGTCGAGCTCACAGTACGGTGCGGGAGTTCGCGGCGGTGTGGTTTGCTCTGGGGAGGATTCGGGTGGCCCGCGGATCGACGATTCGGCTCCATTCGGACTACTCTCCGGTGGTTCATTGCCTGAACCGCGGGGGTTCGATGCGGTCCTTGTCTCTTTGGGGTTGGTCGCTTCGGGTGACTCGTCTGCTGAGTTCTCGGGGTTTGGCTCTCCTGGCGGTTCACGTACGGGGCGTGTTCGCCCCGTGTGTTAGACGTTCGTAAGTTCGCGGCTCTTGCTGCCGTCTTTGGGAATATGTCTTGGTCTGATATTCGGGCGCGGGGATTTTGGCGGTCGAACAGGGTCCTGGCTGCTCGTTACCTTGTGAATGTCCCTGGGCCTCGTCGGGCCTGTGTTGCTTTGGGTCGGCGGTTGCAGCCAGTTGTCTCGGCTTCGAGTTGAGGGGTGAGCAACGACCGCCTCCCGGGTAAGTCCCTCTTTTTCTGTCTGTGGGTAGTTAGCTCCGGGGAGCCGACGGGGCTTCCCCCAGAAAACCAGCGTTGAATGTAATGAAACGCCATTTTCTGCGTGAGTCCCGGAGGCTCCCCGGCATCCCTCCCTCCCTCCGGTCGGCGGTTTTTCGCGTTTTTGACATCCAGCCTCAAGAACTGAGGTGTGGGTAGCCGGCGCGGGGGGTCTGGGGCTCCCCCTTCCCCCTCCCGGGGAGGGGGGAGCTGCGCAGACAGCGGCGCGGCAGTGTGTGACGTCACACTAGTTTGCTTGTTTTCGGTTGGGGAGTTCTATCCACTAGTTCGGTTTTAGGTAGCAATTTTAACCAGAATAGGGGTTTGTTTTGGGGCGCTTACCTTTCTGGGTGCCTGTTCCGGTCGATGGCAGACATAGAATGCTTCCAACTACACGGGGGCTTCTATAGGCCATTGCTCCCCTTGCCTCTCTGAGGGGGCCCGGTTCTGGCCGTGGTCCCCGGTAGGCCTAAGAACTCCATACACATGACTGATGCCAAAGTCTGACATTAGCATATCAGCCTGGGATAGCTCCGGGGAGCCTCCGGGACTCACCCAGAAAATGGCGTTTCATTACATTCAACGCTGGTTTTTTTTTTTTAGCAGCAGAAGGGTTAAACATTGTAGAAAAGATCAATATGGACAGAATAACATTGAATGTAATAATTAATGTAATAATTACTGTAATACTTATTATTACATTGATCATGGCTAAGCAAGTAAAGGGCTAGTTTGGTTGCTGAAACTGATGCAAACTCAAAAGTTAATTTAATATATATATTTTTTATTAAAATATTGTATTCTAAATTTGTTTATTTTCACACCAGCTGGGAAAATTTCTGGTCTCCTCCTCACATGATGACAGCCTTATCATCAAGACGCCAAAAATTAAAGGAAAAACTATTCCCGATAACGTCATTACTCCGCGCACAGAAATACTGGGTCGGTTTGGAGCCTCGACGCCTTCCACTACCCCCTTCACACCCTCCACCAGTTTCCCGACGTCTGTCACTAAATCTGGACATAGAAAGTAAGCAGCAGAGGTTCCGTCCCGTCTGTACACTCCCTGTTTATATGTTTTGTAATCCAAGCTGGATTTTATATTTAGATAAGTTTGTCTTCTATGGTGGTAAGTTATATTGTTGCTCTGAAATATTACTTATGTAATGTATGTTTATGTATATGTGTTTGGGTGTTAAGACTCGGTGATGGATTACTGTGTTTTTTTTTATGTTTATTTAATAGCCTTTGTTACAGCAGTCAGTTGTTGTCATACATTGACAACAACTGAGGAGGAAGTTGTGACATGTTGTGACAGCTGAGATGAGACCTGTAGCAAGGAGCAGAGAGCTTGAGTGAGGCTGAGGATAGAGAGCTTGAGTGAGGCTGGGGAGAGAGAGCTCAGATGTGGGGTGAGAGCAGTGGGATCAAAGAGCTCGAATGTGGGATGAGAGCTGGAGGCTCAGATATGGCTAGAATCTGGCTGTCTGCTCTGTAGCGAGGCTAAAACGTCTTATGAGAGTAGGAATTGGACTCGACGACTGTTACGTTGTTGCTGGTGAATGTCGATGATGTTGAAGATCCGAGGTGTATCTCTAGAGTGTTCGTACAAAACCACAATTCGAGTTAGACTCAGTAAAGATACTTCGTTGTTATTGTTGTTTTAGATTTAGCTACTCGGAATGAAATGTCCATATAGCAGGGGCAATAGTGAGCTCGTAATTGAGTTCCATTATTCACGATAACCTTTTTGCTATGATATTTGGGTCAAAGTTTTAAATAAAGGTAGAGTTTCCTTCTTTTTGCACTGGTTTTAGTCTTTCGTTTTATTAACATTATCTTGGTGGCAGATATAGATACATAGTGTGCACTAGTGTGTCCCATTCTTCAACTGCATCATTTCTAACCATTGTAGTTGCTGTGGATTTTGCATTTAATGCGGCTGCTCTTGTTAGTTGAATGTTAAGTTTGATGCACAGAGATTCAGTTGGTTCACATTCCAGTAAGTAGTGTAATAGCATTTGTTCCACAGATATGACATTCTTTGACTATTGGGGTTTATTATCTCCCAGCAGCACTTGTAGTCAAATCTAAGTGTGTATGGCTACTGCAATGTCTCTGGATATCTTTTTGCCAGGCTTGAAAGAGGAGTACCCAGTGGCTTATTTGTTTCGTACCACATTGCAGTGGGTCTTCCTTCCGCTACTCTAGCTCGGTGGCGACTTTTGATAGCTGAGAGTATTTTCTTCTTGATTTGCTCCTTAATCTGTGAAAAACTTGGAGGTATTTGAACCTGTACAACAGGTACTCACCTAGTTGAACTTACCTAGTTGAACTCACCTAGTTGTGGTTGCAGGGGTTGTAGGTGGCTACATACCACCTACAAGTACAGTACTAAAGCCAAGGGTGTACGTGAGTGTGTTATTTGTAAGCACACAGAACGAAGAAGCAGTAAGCGAAAATCTATCTGTACCTGTTGCAATGAGAGCGAAGGCGCGCTGTAAACCAAGGGACTACTTCGTTGATTATTACTCGCTTTCGAAGTACTGAGTACTTCCTAGTTGTGCTTGCGGGGGTTGAGCTTTGGCTCTTTGGTCCCGCTTCTCAACCATCAATCAACTGATGTACAGATTCCTGAGCCTACTGGGCTCTGTCATATCTACATTTGAAACTGTGTATGGAGTCAGCCTCCACCACATCACTTCCTAGTGCATTCTGTTTATTAACTACTCTGACACTGAAAAAGTTCTTTCTAATGTCACTGTGGCTCATTTGGGTACTCAGCTTACACCTGTGTCCCCTTGTGCATGTACCACCCGTGTTAAATAATCCATCCTTGTCTACCATGTCAATTCCCCTGAGAATTTTGTATGTGGTGATCATGTCTCTCCTAGCTCTATTATGAGCTAGGGGGAGACATTATGAGCCATTATGAGCATTATGAGTCTTCCAGTGATGTGAGGTGCAGTTCACGTAGTCTGTCCTCATAACTCATGCCTCTTAGTTCTGGGACTAGCCTAGTGGCATACCTCTGAACTTTTTCCAGCTTAGTCTTGTGCTTGACTAGATACAGGCTCCATGCTGGGGCTGCATACTCCAGGATTGGCCTTACATATGTGGTATACAAGGTTCTGAAGGATTCCTTACACAGGTTTCTGAAAGCAGTTGTGATGTTAGCCAGCCTCGCATAGGCCACTGATGATATTCTTTTGATGTGGGCTTCAGGAGACAGGTTTGGCGTGATATCAACTCCCAGATCTTTCTCTCTGTTCGTTTCGTGAAGGACTTCATTTCCCATTCGGTATCCAGTGACTGGCCTCTTAGTTCCTCCTCCCACCTCCACCGGGCTGCGGGGACGCTAAGCCCTGGAAGCACTTCAAGGTAAGGTAAGGTAAGGTAGTTTCATTACCTTACATTTACTTGGGTTGAACTTTAGTAGCCATTTGTCAGACCATTCCTTCAGTTTGTATAGGCCATCTTGTAGCCTCATACTATCCTTCTGTCTTGATCCTCCACATAATTTTTGCATCATCAACAAACATCGAGAGGAATGAGTCAATTCCTTCTGGGAGATCATTTACGTATATCAGAAACAGTATAGGTCCAAGGACTGAACCCTGTGGGACTCCACTGGTGACTCCCCTCCACTCCAAGACCTCACCCCTCATGGTGACTCGCTGTGTCCTGTTGCTTAGGTACTCTCTTATCCAGTGGAGTACCTTCCCTTTCACTCCTGCCTGCATTTCCAGTTTGTGAGGTAGAGCAGTGGCAGTGTTTGCTAGTGAGTCTGCCTTTTCATTACCATCTATCCAATGTCACTTGGAATAGAATTTAATGTGATTGACAGCCCTAGAGTGTGTGCTTCTTTTCCTATATGTAGGGTTTCTGTGAGGAGTTGTATATTATCTCTGTGCTGGCTGGATAACAATGCCTGGAGCGAAGATTTAGAGTCGCTATGAATGATGTCATCATGTAAATTATTCTCAATTACATAATTTATGGCCTTCTTCTGGGCATATAATTCTGTTTGCAATGTTGAGCACCCACTGTTCATGCTTTAATAAGCTTCATTTTTGTTAGTGTAAACTGCTACCCAAGCAGAATGTCTTATTTTGGTAAATTAATTCATCTATGAAGATGTGAGTGGTTGTCGGTCTTGAGATGCTTTCCATTTGTTGTTCTATGATTGCTTTGAGCCTCTGCGAGTCACATGTTGATTTTTTAACTGGTAATCCTTCAATGATTATCTTTAGACTCGATTCTTCCCATGGAAAAGGCTGCCGAAAGGTGTTGATATGGGCTATCTTCTCTGGTTCTAATGGTTTGTTTCAAATCCACTTTCTCTAGAATCTTGACCAGATTATTCGTCCATGAACTTGTTCTATATTTAAAGTTTCTATGAAGCGATCTATGTATGCAATCTTTGATTGACAGGTGGTGGTTCCAACAAGTTTTGCTGTTATGGTGGCTATTCTTTGTTTGATCCTGTTTTCTAAAGCTGGTAAGTTGGTTTCCATTCTTAGATTCTCTCGATGCATCCATATAGGTGCTCCCAGCATTGTTCTGAGGGCATAATTTTGTGACACTTTGAGTTTCTCTCATTGGTTATCACTGAGGGATGTAAGAACAGGGGCAGCATAGTCAATGAGTGACCTAACTGCTTGAACATAGTACATTTTGAGTACTGGTAGAGTTGCACCATCTCTAAGACTTGTCAGGGATCACAATAGTTTCTGGCTTTGCAAAGTTGCCGAAAATATACAATTTCTTGGGTGAATTTCAACTAGCTGTCTGTTATGACTCCAAGGTATTGAAAAGTGGTAACCCAATTTCTTGTCCTTATATTTTTGAGATATATACAAGAGTTGTTATATTCTTGTACAGCCACTAGTACACGTAGCGTTTCGGGCAGGTCCCTGGAATACGATCCCCGCCGCGAAGAATCGTTTTTTCATACAAGTACACATTTTACTGTTGCGTTAAACAGAGGCTACAGTTAAGGAATTGCGCCCAGTAAATCCTCCCCGGCCAGGATACGAACCCATGACAGCGCTCGCGGAACGCCAGGCGAGTGTCTTACCACTACACCACGGAGACTGTAAATATTGTATTGCAAAATCAGACTCACAATACATTCAATACAACGATGCTTCCGTTCTTGGGTAATATTACAAGCATCTTTTCACTTTGCCAAATCGACTAACATCTTTGTAGGCTGTCGACTGGCTTGACTGATGCCTGTGCACTTGGGAAAGAATAATAATTGTAATTAGTGTATATAGGATTAGTGTAGAACATCTTGGAAAGTAGAATTTTCAGGTAATTTGTGGACCCATGATTAATGTAAAACTCCCTGGAAAGTGGAGTTCTCGGGAATAAATTACATGGAATTAAGAGGCACATCTAACTATCTACATTGCAACTAATGAGAGTTTGGAGCAGTTATGTTACTCTCTCTTATAATTATTGCACTTAGGTAATATTTTTGAAAGATTTTTTTTGTGGATTATCTTGATATATAATTTCTTGATTGTTCTCGTTATGTTGTCATGCCATGTAGTTGTAGCACCATAACAAACATTTCTCAGTCTCGCAGATCACAAGTTTGGATAAATGTGTTGGCAGACTGACAACTCGTCGTAATGGAAGGTATAATGCTTAGTATATCTTTCAATTATTATGCTAATAAAGAGTTGTTATATTCCAGAGCTGTTTTAGAAGTGATGTACCACCAGCTGCAAGGAGGGAAGAAGAGACCCCGAGGCATTAGGAAAGCTCTGCACGATAGCAAGCAGTTTGGTAATTCTGCATTGGTAAAGCCTAGCAACCTTCCATTGCTTGAGGTAAGTTGTGTGGGTTTATCATTGAGTAAGAGTGGTGAGAAAATGGGAATATTGTTCGAGATATTTTTGTATATCGAACACACTACAATGCAGAACTTTCAATAGCAAAATGTTTTGCTGTAAACCACTAATTTCATGCTCTGTACTCTTAACAAGTTAGTACAGTGTACTTAGTCGTTGTAATTTGCACTGATGAGGATTTGACCTCTTAACTCCATGGCTATTCAGATTACACAACTTTCCAAGCGGTTTTCTTTTTGTATTAACCCAAATGTTATAATGTGTATATGCACAAGCATATAGCACTTGGATAGCAAAATTAACATTAAAAACATAACTTTGTTTTAAATCTAAATAATTCTAAGTTAAAATACATATAGTACTGATATAGCTTCCACTTACCTTCCACAACATAGATGCATTGCTTTGCCACACTCCCATTGACACATCTTAAGGCATGGTAATTGTGAGGATTCTATTGCTATTTGATTATGGTAATTATTAATTCAATACTGGTACAGTACTTGTACTGTCATTTGAAAACTGCCCTCAATAAACCAGAGCATCTTGTTGAAAAATAAAAACTTATTTTGTTTTAGAAATGTAAAGTAAAAAGTTAAATTTTGTAATATTTTTATATTCATGAGTTTGTTTAGCTTATTTATTATGTACCTCATACCCATCCTGTGAGCAGCAGCAGAAAAGGTTCCAGAGGCACATAATGGGCTCAGTAACTTAATCCTGTATATTAATGATGCATTGTTTCTTACCGCCTTATGGTAAGATGTGCTGTGTCATGCACAGTCATATAGGATTACATACTGCACTAGTACTGCAGGGAACACTTCAAGCTGTCCCTGAGGCTAGGGAGTCACTAGAGAACATTCAGTATGGCACAAAATATCAAGAGTGTTCATCCTAGCCATGGTGGAGGAGGGTCTTGGAGCACTTGAGAAAGTTGTGAACTTGTGATCCAGTGACTTTGATGGAGGATGAACAAGACGATTCCAGGCCTTTTCAGGAAGCAATGACCAGAGGACTAAAACGGAAAACTGTGAGCAGAGAATTAAGTGATACTGACAGTGTTGAACGACCGAAGAAGTGTAATGAGCGACGACACACGGGACCTGGGTTTCAAAATTCTTTAAGGCAGGAAAATCTCACCGGAAAGATGCAAGAGGACCAAACGCGGCAAGAGGCACAGATTAATGGAAGGAAACGGCTGCTATTTCCCTTGACACGTCAACTAACTTTTCATCAAAAGCTGGAGCGGACCGTTCATTTGGCCAAGGAATTTGGTGAATATGAACCCTTATTTAACCACTGAACTGTGCAACGCACCTGCAGGCGCTTGACAGGGGGTGCGCAATGCGCCTCCGGGATCTTATAAGTACTGTATAGCGTTTGATTCAAAACTCCTGCGTCAACATGGGGTTCACATCAGCTTCCTCAGGGCTCTTGTAAACAGACGCCATTTAAAAAGAAATCGTAGGCAACATTCCCGGGTGTGAGAGCCTCAATACTGAGTGAGCAACCAAGGCTGGCGCACGCAGCATGAGTTCACAGTACAGGTACTGCTGTTCAGCTAGTGACCGCAGCATCGCCTAATAATGTCAAAATATATATATGTAACTGGTATTATTTAGCCATGATATTATTACAGAAGAGCCTGAGTGTGATAATGACTGTGTACAATGTTCAAATATCAGTGAATCAATGCTGTTCATGATGTTCACAGCGCTAGCCACAGCACCACAGCATTATTTCGTCCATCTAGAAATCTTCAAACGACTAATTATGTTCTTTTACAAAATAAATTTGTGGTCAATTATTCATTTACAGGATATAGTGACCAGGATTGTGATAATAGCAGGATTGTGGTGATAATTAGTACTGTGCATAGTTTGTATATATGACCATTTAAAATATTTTTCAAATTTTGTCTCTGTTGGTGCAACAATGTCTGGGACTTTGAGCTGAATTACAGGGGTTATCTTGAGGTTATCTTGAGATGATTTCGGGGCTTTAGTGTCCCCGCGGCTCGGTCCTCGACCAGGCCTCCACCCCCAGGAAGCAGCCCGTGACAGCTGACTAACACCCAGGTACCTATTTTACTGCTAGGTAACAGGGGCATAGGGTGAAAGAAACTCTGCCCATTGTTCCTCGCCGGCGCCCGGGATCGAACCCAGGATCACAAGTCCAGTGTGCTGTCCGCTCGGCCGACCGGCTCCCGACCGGGGTACCTCGGTTTAAGAATTTAATCCGTTCCTGGAGACAGTTCGTAACCTGAAAATTCATAAACCGAAGCGAATTTCCCCATAAGAAATAATGGGAAATGAATTTATTCGTTCCTGACTCCCCAAAAACTTCACTTCAAAGTAAATTTTATACCTAATTCACCCAAATCTTCACTACAAAAAGTATGTTCAAGTTATTACTTAACCTTACTGATGACTCCTGTTGGCATATGGAAGATGGTGAGGAGGGGGAGTAGGAGAGGTGTTACTGTTTGGAAGGGGAGTCCCCTTCCATTATAATATCAGGTAGTGAAGATTTCTCTGGAGTGCATTCTCTGGCACATTTTGCCTGCATACCACTAGGTTCTGGTTGTTGCTCACTGCTTGATTTTCTCACTTTTCTCACAAGGAAACGTTCCATAGAAGATTGTTTTCCCCTTCTTTGCAACACTTGTCTGTAGTGAGGCATCACATTGTCATTAAAAAGATCAATGCAACAGCCTACTACAGCTTTATCTGGGTGATTCTATTCAGCAAAACTTTGCAGTCCTTCCCATACTGCACACATTTTCTGAATTAATGAGGAAGAGACATTCTCTACTGCCTCCTCTTCCTCCCCTGAAGATTTGTTGTACTGCCTAGCTAGTTCAACAACACGAGTACCATTTTCATGCTTACAATTGATCTCTTGTTTTTCCTCTATGGTCATTTTCACACATGATTTCTTGCCTTGAACCTTACCACTGGCTTTCTTGGGACCCATGGCAAGATATATAATAACTTTTATGCTTAAATGGCCATAAATCCAACAAAAAACTGTAAACTCTTGTGAAGAATTCAGGCGGGATAGTCACTGGACATGAGGCACTGGTAAACTGAGTTGCGATCGCCGTGCCACCATGCACTAGGTTGGCCGTATGCGTATCAACAAACTCGTATCCTGATTCAAATTTTCCGAACAAATCAGGCTCGTAATCCAAAAAGTTTGTAAACAGGGATGTTCGTAAACCGAGTGTGAGAAAATGGTTTTTCAAGATTCTCCCACAGCTGAATTGAATGGCTCATTGCAGTGCACAGTGCACCGAACTTCGTGTACAAGGCCCTATCTCTGTTAACCCTGGATAATAAACTGGCATGTTGGGTATCTACAGAATGCCCACATAACCAGGAATACATTTATAATACGGAGGCCACCGTATGTCCAGGCCGGAAGTAGATACAGGGAAGTTAACATACTTGCTACAAAGGGTCAGTGAGTACATTGGCTGGTGCCAGCATGAGAGACGCCAGCGAGGTGACCGTCTGACCTCTGGGGTCAACCGGCGCGATGGAGAATAACAGCTGTGACGTGGTCGTGACGTGTTCATGACGTCGCCTCTCCTACTGATCAGGAAACGAGCAATATGATTGGTTCAAGGTCGAGTTAGAGTCCTTGAGGGTCTCTCCTCAGGCTAGCCTCACCTGGTCCTGCTCCACGTTGATCGTTGGAATTTCCTCAATGATTTAACACTTTAAGGGACTCCCAGGGACCTCATCACATTTATAGTTTAGTGAATACAGTAGCAATATGATTGGTTCAGGCAACTCGGTGTTGAAGACACCTAGAGCTGAAGGCTTGAGTAATTAATTGGCAGTATTCAGAAGTGGTTCAACGGAAACACCGTATAAAGCTTAACAGTAGTTTATTTACTAACTTAACCACTAATACAAAGGGTGCTTGATTTACTTTAGATTGGCGTCAGAAAGGCAATGGTTGCATTAGCGAGTCTTGACGTCTGGCTAATCGACTCGGATCCACTCGTGGAGTAACACCTAACTTAACACAGCCAATCATTAACATGGCAACCTAACTGCCGGTATGCAAAGGGATCACAAGAGTTCCAACCAGATACTTGGTAATGATGATATGCAATAAACCAACAAATACACTTTCAATGAGACAAGCAATAACATGCACCATAATAATGTCACACAATACTAAATGTGTGGTGTATGTGAAGCTCACATTCACAGACGAGTGAAATGCAGTGATACCACACAGATAAACACGCAAACACCGTCGATTCACCTATAACAGGTATGAGAAGGTGAGAACTGTGGTTGATACCTCAGATCAACACAGACACAATAAAACAATGACAAGATCTTGTACTTACAGATGGGGGTACCTCTCTTATTCACTCACTCACTCGGGCACATTTATGCAAGCACTCGTAGGTGGCCTGATAGCTGGTTTCCTCGTTGATGTGAGACCATTGACGACAGGGTTTCCCACAAACCGTACTTGACACGGGGTACTCGCAGGAGGGCACGTTGTATGTCCCAGACACACGCACACACTGTCACTGGCGGTGAGTAAGATGGTGATGTCACGTAGTACAGTGAGGGCGGCGGCGGGCGGCTCGAGGCTACACGAGGTACTGAGGTACTAGCTACACGCTCTGGACCGAGTGGCGGCTGGCTACTGCAGGTTATGTGGTACCATGCAGGTACACTTGTGGTAAAGTCACACAGGTTACTTAGGCGGCGGCACTGCCTTAGTTCACTCTAGGGCACTTACAACGATCTTTGTCACCAGGGGTTACCTGATACCAGTCTGTTTCGCTCTGGTGATTTGTCACTTTAGGCTTCTAAACAATATATCACAGTCGCGATTCTGGGCGAGTGTTGGTATATCGAAAAGACGCTGAGTTTAACTTGACGGTGAGGAATAGACAGTGTTCTTCTATCTATTGACCGATAGACAGAACAGGACATGTCTTC